GCACCAGCCACTCCTCAGAAGAAAGGTTGGGCAATCTACTTCTGTAGTGATACCACCTCAGAAACCCAAGGAGGGGTCGCTATGAGTCAGGGCTGACTCGACGGCACATAACAACAACAACAACAACATATCAGAACGAGTAGGTCTTCTTAGTGCTGGTCAATCTCTTTAAAAAGATTACCTCTCGTTTTAAATTATGTTGAGGGACAAGATCCAGAGCCTTTACTCCTCCTTTTAAAGACTTTTGAACAAATCTCTTGTTATGAGCCTTATTCTTCACCTCCACCACAAGAGGTAGCAGGTGCCTCTAATATCTGAGCCTTTCTAGAGCTTTGTAATGCAAATTAGATTGATTCTTGTTGGCTTCTATTATTCCTCTCACCTTTATCATGCCAACATGCACACACACACACACACACAATTGAAGGGCTAGTTTTTTCTAGTCTGATAAATCAGTAAATCAGTTATCATTTGTTCAATTGCTTTTCTGCTTGTGAACTTTTTATGCATCTTTTACCTGCTTTTGCATCCCATCCTTTACTCTTGTTCTTGTGAGCTTATGATGTTTTTATCCTTTTATTGTCCTTTTAGTCAGGTTGCAGAAGGGAGTGGAGATAAGCATGTGTATCTATTCAGATAAACTGAATCCATAGCCTTTTTCAATCTACAACCTTATTTGCCTTGATGTAACTGCTTTAAAAAAAAAAGTTGTGTGTTTATACTTTTGTCTCTCCATGCTATGCCATTCTGACAAGAACTTGAGCAGAGGATAAAGGAAGGATGATCTTTGTGAATTTTTTTTTAACCTCAAATGATTGACAATTCTATTTAACCTTTCACGAGAGATTTCTGTGTGACTATTAATAGTTATACATTAGTGTGTAAGAGAGTGTGCAAATTGCTCGTATCCTATTCACCATGATCATCTTTCTTCATCTTGGTCTCTCTGTACTTTTCATTGAGAGGTGCTTCTTTCCCCCTCTTCTCCATTACTTTAATTCTATAATGATTCTATCTCTTATACTGGCTTATACTACATTCTGATGTCACTAAGAACTTGCATCAAGTTTACCTATGGTATAAAGTAATTTTGCACATCACATTTACCAGGTCAGTAGCTTGCCAAGACAATTAATTGCTTTTCACTGAGGGAATGGCCTTCAGGGCCTGCAAGGCCTTTTATGAGCTGGTGAATGGTGGGGACAATACAGTACTTAATGAGGAGGCATTTATGTGTCATCTATCATCTTTGGAGGTAAGACTAAATATGCTAAATTACCCTGCCCTCTACTCTCATATTTCTCTTCTAAAAGAAGATTGGGACACTGGTAAAATAGCAGCATCTTGCATTGCTTGCATTTCATTTAATTGTATATTTCCATAACAGGAACTCTGGTAGCATAGTGCCTAAGGCACTTGTCTGCTAACCAGAGGCTGGCTGGCTGTTCAAACCCACCAGCCACTCCTCCAAAGGAAAGTTGGGCAATCTGCTTCTGTAGAGATACTACTGCCTCAGAAACCCAAGGAGAGGTTGCTATGAGTCAGGTCTGACCCGATGGCACATAACAACAACAACAACATTTCTATAACAATAAAGTAACATCATCATTATTTAAAGATGGGGGGAAAAAAGTTCCAAGTTTGTGTAACTGATCAAGATCACATAGCTAGTAAGTGGCAGGGATGGAATTTGAGCCAGAATTGTCTAACATCAAAGGTAGGCCTCATTCTACTGGATCCCCTTTCTCTATATTTTCTAATAGATATATGTGTTGTTGCTGTGTGCTGTCAAGTTCATTCCAGCTCAGCAATCCCAAGTGACATAGCGGACCTGCCCCTTAGGGTTTGCTAGGCTGTGTAATGTTTTTGGAAGCACATCACGAGTTCTTTCTCCCATATGGTCACTGGGTGGGTTCAAACTGCCTACCTTTCGGTGAGCAGCAGAGCTCTCAATCATTGTGCCACCACAACTCCAGTAGACATTAATAGAGTTTAGATCTTCAGCAAATCCTGTTTGTGTCCTCCAAGTGCACTCAGATTCAGAAGTGTAAAAGAGTATCTATGCCTCCTCCTAATATAAACAAGATGGGTCAGTATGAGGTAAACTATTTTATCTAAAGCATTATAATTTGGGGGTTTACCCTTTCCCTTAAATAGTGCTGTCTTAGTAATAGTCTAAATAAATTTAAGGCAACAATCAAGCAGTAATTATTAGTTGAGTGTGTATGTCTTCAAACCTACTTGGTACCTGGAAGAAAATGAAGAAAGTGTAAAATATCATTCCAACTCTTGCCCAGAGGTGTGGACATGCTATGTGGAATCCTAATTTGGATCAAAAGCACAGACTTTTTAATTTCACAAATGAGGCCAAATACTCTTACTGCTCAGTTGAGAAGATAAATTTACATATGAAAAATCCTAGCACCACAATGCAACATATCTAAGTGTGTTGCATCTAAGTGTTAATCACATCTAAGTGTTAATCATCTGCTAAAACTAGCAAATATTCTAGGCTTTGAGAGCAGAAGGTCAAAGGGAAAAGGAGCAGAAACTACAAACACTTACTGAGTTCCTACTCTGTAAAGCACAGTGTTTTAGGGACTTTAGGAACACACTGAGTAAGAAATTCCTAGCTGCTTGCTATGGGAGCCCTGGTGGTATAGTGCCTAAGGCACTTGACTGCTAACCAGAAGGCTGGGGGTTCAAACCCACCAGCCACTCCTTGGAAGGAAGATTGGGCAATCTACTTCTGTAGTTATGTTGTTGTTATGTGCCCTCAAGTCCCTCCTTGGGTTTCCAAGGCAGTATCACTATGGAAGTAGATTGCCCAAACTTCCTTCCGAGGAGTGGCTGGTGGGCTTGAACCCCCAGCCTTCTGGTTAGCAGTCAAGTGCCTTAGGCACTACGCTACCAGTGATACTGCCTTGGAAACCCAAGGAGGGGTCACTATGAGTTGCGGTGAATTCACTCCAGGGCATTGAGTTTGATTTTTTTTTTTTTTTTTTTTTTTTTACCTTGGTCTGGAATGAGGCTTTGGAGTTGCACAGGAGGAAGGAAAACATGCATCCCATGCAAGAAGAACATGGACCACAACACAGTGACAGAAGTGATCCCTGTGTGACTTGGAAGAGTGAGAAGAATCATCTGATCCAAGAAAAAGCAGGGAATAAGGTTGTAGTGCACGGTAGGGCAAGAACCAAGAAAGAGAAAAGAATCTCAAGTTTATCAGAAGGAAAAAGACATTGTACTACAGAAGTCTGTTGATTTAAAGCAAGATATTGAAGCATTTTATGATATTAAATGGGGAAACATTACATAGCTTCTTTGTTAAGTGTAATATGCTCTGTTCTTGTTTATTTTTTTATGTATTGAAGAAGAGATATTAAGATGGGTTGCATTACTTAAATTATAGGAATAAGGACAGCGGATAATCTATACACAGTTCTGTCAACTATAGAAAAGATATTCCCCTTCCCCCCAACAGAAGAGTTATTTTAGGATTTCAGGTGATCTTCACTTCAAAGAATCTTGTTAGGCAATCTACTTCTGTAGTGATACTGCCTCCGAAACCCAAGGAGGGGTCGTTATGGGTCGGTCCACTCTATGGCTCATAACAACAACAACATGGTGAGATGAACTTTGGGGTTCAGAGTTTCCCTTGTCTCTACTTAGCATAGAGATATCTGAGGCACGCCTGCAGTTGAATGGCAGTTGGTCATTCTCCTAAGAGAACATAGTAGCATTGGAAGAATGACAATAGTGGTCATTTGGTGTCCTACTTCGTATTTGGTAAATAACTTCCTATCCAATTCTCAAGGTCCATCTCTCATTGGAGAAAAATACTGGATAGTACCAGGTCATGTAGTCGTCAGCGTAGGTTGCCCTGGTCTAATTTCCTTGTATTTTGGTTTTGTGATTAGTAAACTGATCTAATTAGTAAGCTATTGGGTTTCTTTGTCCTTGCACTGTTTATGCTTAACAAGATTTTTAAGTAAATAGAATAGGCAACCACTAGGAGGTACCCGAGTTATGTATGGGTCCGGCGCTGCGGGAAACAGAAATGGCTAACAGTGGCTCCCTTGAATCCGCGGGTCCAAACGGGTGCCACTTTTGCAAGGTCGTGGTTGCAAATTGCTTGTACCTGGAGCGAGAAAGAAGCAGGCGGCCAAGGCGCCTTTAAAGCATTATCGCGTCCTGGGTTCTGCGTACTTGGGCGCCAGCTGCCTGCACATCTGGAAGCAGCAGCGCCTTTCCCTGCAGGGCGGAAGGGAGGCGGAGGACTCCGGTGTGCGCGTACCTCCTCGTGCGCGCGCGTGCGCCCAAGTGCGCGTCGCTGGTTGTGTGTGTGTGTGTGTGTGTGTGTGTGTGTTTGAGTTGTGTGTGTATGCGCGCGCGCGCGCGTATGGGTGTCGGCTGGAGACTCGGCTCCAGGACCCGCTAATGGGGGTGGGGAACCTGGAGGGAGTAAATCTCCGCCGACCTCTTCGAGCCTCACTGCAGGTTAATAACCAGCCAGTTAGAGAAAGACAAGGGTGACGGCAGGAGGGTGACAGCCTGGGCATGCCGGCTGCGTGTGGAAAGGTCGGGATATCAGCCAGATTTTGCCACATTCAGAGATTATTTTTCCTGTTTTGAGGGGGCGGTATTATTTTGTATTGTCTGCTCCTATCCCAGAGAACAAGGGACAGGAGAGAGAGGTGCGTGCTCTAGCTGACTGTCGCGGATCTAAACGGGTCGAAGGAGGCAATTTTGCTAGTGGGGGAGGGAGGGGGAGACCTTGATTTCCACCAATCCCCGGGCGTTTGTCTGCGAAGTCCGGGGCGCAGCGGAAGGCTGCGGCGCGCCGCTGAATTAACTGATGAGAGCGAGTTCTTTTATTCTCTGGGAGGGGTGGGGAACAAGGGTCTTGGCAGGCGAGGCGGAGAAGCCGGGGGCAGGATAGCGGTCCCGGGCCGCCGTGGAAATTTCCAAGGACTTGGAGCGGCGCGGGGAGCGCATCTCGGCGCAGCAGTGCGGGAGGCGGGGAGAGGCAGCGAAGGGCGAAGGAGCATCGCTCAGAAGGGACGCCGCGGCTGAATGTCTAGGAGAGAGAGTCAAGCCTCTCCCCGGACCCACGCCGAGGGTGACCGTGATGCTGCAGAACCGGCAGGAGCGACTTGCCGCCGCCGCTCTCCGGGCTTTCAGGCACCCCAGCGCCCGCCTTCTGCTGGGGAAGCAACCATGGCCATAGCTCGTGACTTGTCCCCCAGTCACTTCGCCTGCAAAGAAATCCTTGAAAAAGTTGCATTTTAAAAATCCTTGTGCTGATCTTTGGGGCCGTGGGGACCGAAGAAGCGTGAGTGCGTGTGCAAGCAGGAAAGCGGAAGGTGTGTGTGCATGGGGGGTCGTCGGTGGGGGGACCCTCCGCTGCTACTTTGCCAAGTATTGTGCTGAGGCTCTGGCCCCCGTCTCTCCCCGGCACCCTGGGGCTGAGATGAGCCCTTGTGGGCTGATACGGCTACAGACTTCCAGAGGGGCCATGGCTATACTGGCGTGGAAGTTCCCGCGGACCCGGCTGCCTGTGGGAGCCAGTGCCCTCTGCGTCGTGGTTGTCTGTTGGCTCTACATCTTCCCGGTCTACCGGCTGCCCAACGAGAAGGAAATAGTGCAGGGAGTGCTGCAACAGGGCACGGCGTGGAGGAGGAACCAGACGGCGGCCAGAGTCTTCAGGTACCTCTGTTCTCCTTGTCTCTCCCCTGTCGCGTCCTTTCCTCCTCAGTGCGCAGAGGACAGGGAGGCGTCCCTTCCACCCAATCCTTCTTGTCTAACCCTCTTTCCCAACCATTCCCTCCCCTCACCTCAGGAGATGTGAAGACTCCTGATTTGCACCTGTAAAGACTGTACGCGTTTCTTTCCAAGCCGGGGTAAAATTAACAATTTGTCGATAACCGGTAGGAAGGAGAACCCAGGATAACTTATTCCTCTGCACGAAATAAGAATTCATTTCTTTGGCTCTGCAGATGTTTGAAGCCACAGAGTACTAAACTGAGGTTAGGTGAACTGTTGGTATCATAAATCAGTAAAGAAAGAGATGTTGGACAAGGCTTGGGCAGTGAAATCACAGCATGGTCATCAAGACGGGACCCCTTGGCTTTGCGCAGTGTACGCAAAACACTTAGCGACATCCTACTAGGAGCCGGGTAGTATGCGTTTGTGTGTGTGTGTGTGTGTGTGTGTGTGTGTGTTGGAATCTCAAAAACTTTCCAGTAACAAATTATCACCCCCATTTTACCGCCCACAAACTGAGTCTTTGGAAACTTAATTTACTTGCCCAAGGTCATGTGTGAAGTGTGAGAACTGGAATTTTCATCACCTAAATTTCCAGAGCTCCCAGCTCTTTTCTTTGGTGTAGACTGTGGATGTCTTCTCCGGGACAATGGGAGATATGCTTTACCGAGGGTCTTGAAATCAGAAAACAAACGAAAAGCAGGTTGGAAATGAGAACCCAGAGGTTCACTCAGAGATTGTAGTTTACCTTCCTTTCTGGGAATTTCCGTTTAAGTATCTAAAAATAAGTCCCTGGCAGCAGGGGTTGTGCAGTTAGATGGAGTGAAGGCAGATATGCTTCCCTTTCTTCTCCACTTCCCTTGGACTGTGGAGAACTGGGGCAACTGGTGCTTCCACAACTGGGAGGTGCCCCTCCTAGCACCTTTATCCCTTACAGCTGAAGATGCCATTGTCACCCCTTTTTGTGATTGTAGTCTGGGTGGGATATGCTTTCCTTTGCTGGGGATAGTATCTTTCTAAGCAGTGTATGGGCTGGTGAGAGCCAGCTTTAACTTTGTCACAGAGGTTTGTTATAAATGTTCAGAAAAGTCTATGTATTTAAAAAAAACTTATTAAACATATGATTTCCTTCCACTTTTCAGGCCTGCTCCTGAAAAGATGGTCAAAGAGATAACAGTTAATTCTTTCTGAAGAAAGGAGCTGAATTCTCTTTTAAACTGGGAGGGAAGGCTTTTCTTTCTTTTAGAATTCCACTATCAGAAACAACTCCACTCCCCTTAGAAGTAAGGGTTAATTTTTCTCATCTTCATAATATTGATTATTGGACTCAAAAGCACCCCGAAGGCATAGCATTAAGCAGTTCTTCTCTAAAGACAGAAAGCACTTTCATTTCAAGTACTATAAGGAAATGAGTTAAGAACTTCCTATTGGTTCACAATGAAAGAGTCCTTTTTTGTGTGTGTGTATAAGAGGAGGAGGAATAATGAAGCACTGTTAGAGAATAGATTTTGTTTTGGAGGACACAATCAAGTGGAAAATGCTTCATATTATGAGAAACACCGGATGATCATTTCTGAGACACATTTGCTCCTTGTTGTCTGTAGCCTTGAATAATCTTTGCTGTGTTTGGCTGTCATTTGGTCTAGACTCTATGTGCAGAGAATTACTTACTAAACTCCATACACTGCAAAAACGTTCTAAACATGTATACCTCAAAGTTAGTTTCTGTAAAACTGTAAGAAGCACCATGGCCTATTGAAAGAAATTTGGGCTTCAGAGTAGAATATGATATTGTAAATTGTGTCACTATTAGGTAAACAGCAGAGTATCTTTGGGAAGTTAGTCTCTTTCTTTGAGTCTTAGCTTCCGTACATCTAAAACAGGGGTAATAACATCTCTCCTGCAAGGTGGTTTTAAGGTTGATGCCTTAAATTGATGCCAGCTGTCTTTTAGCACCTTCTGTACCCAATAAATGGTTGTTATTATGATTATTTTAAATTATGACTTCCTGTGCATGTTCCAACTTAAATAATGACATCTAATCAACCCATGAGAATTGAGACCATTTTACCTGCTGACATTGCAAACCAAAAACAAAAAAACACCAAACTCACTGCATTAGAGTTGATTCGAGTCACAGCGACCCCTCCTTGGGAGCTCTGGTAGCATAGTGGCTAAGACACGTGACTGCTAACCAGAAGGCTGGTGGTTCAAACCTACCAGCCACTCCTCAGAAGGAAGATGGGGCTACTTCCATAGTGATACTGCCTCGGAAACCCAAGGAATGGTCGCTATGAGTTGGGTCCGACTCCATGGCACATTACAACAACAATAACATCTCTATGGAAGTAGATTGTCCAATCTTCCTTCCAGGGAGTGGCTGGCATTGCAGAGAAACATTAGTGGTCCCTCATTATGCACATATATGCCTATGTTAACAAAAAGGAATAAGATGTTGTCAAAGACAATAAAGGTTTAATGGTTAGTTAAGTTAAAAAAATGTTTTGTCCAATCTGCATATTTAATAAAAGCCAGTGTCTTGTAACATATGGGTTGTTAGTAGGTGTGTAGTAGTATGTTTGTCAAATATCAGACAGGTCAGCCAGAAGCAGATATTAAGGAGACATGACTTTGGCATAAAAGGGATCTCTATTTCTCCAGCCTGAAGTATCACAAATGTAAATATGGCACAAATGTAAATATATGTTTGCAAATGTAAACATGGAATTATATGTGGGGATTTATGCACATTTATTAATAAATCATGGAATGGCAATATACAGGTATATATATACATATATATACACATACTTATGTATGTATTTATCTTACTGCCATCGAGTTGATTCTGACTTAGTGACCCCTCAGTGGGTATCTGAGGTGGTAAATCTTTATGGAAGTAGATTGTCCCATCTTCCTTCTGCAGAGCAGCTGGTGGGTTTGAGCCACCAGATTTCTGGTTAGCAGTTAAATGCTTTAGGCACTGTACCACCAGAGCTCCTTATATATATACTTATATATGATACCATATATGAATGTGTGTGTGTGTATATATGTATTGTGATGGCTTGCATGTTGCTGTGATGTTAGAAGCTATGCCACTGGTATTTCAAATACCAGCAGTGTTATCCATGGTGGACAAGTTTCAGTGGAGCTTCCAGACTAAGACAGTCTGAGAAGAAGATCAGAGCCACTCACTTCTGAAAAAAACAAAAATTGGCCACTGAAAACCTTATGAATGGCAGTGAAATGTTGTCTGATATGTTGCTGAAAAACCACGAGTAGCAGTGGAACATTTTCTGATAGAGTACCAGAAGATAAACCCCTCCATTTGGAAGGCACTCAAATACAACTACAGAAGAGCTACCTTCTCAAAATAGAGTTGGCATTAATGATGTGGATGGAACAAAGCTTTCAGGACCTTCCTTTGCTGATGTGGCATAACAAAATAAAAAACACCTGTAAACATCTATTAATAGTTGGAACATGGAATGTACAAAGTATGAATTCAGGAAAATTGGAAATTTTCAAAAATGCAATGGAACGCATAAAGATTGATATCCTAGGCATTAGTGAGCTGAAATGGACTGGTACTGGTCATTTTGAATCTGACAATCATATGGTCTACTATGCCAAGAATGACATATTGAAAAGGAATGACATCACATTCATTGTCAAGGAACATTTCAAGAGCTATCATGAAGTACAGTGCTATCAGTGCTAGGATATACCCATTCACCTACAAGGAAGACCAATTACTACTACTATTATTCAAATTTACTCACCAATCACTAAAGCCAAAGATGAAGCTATTGAAGATTTTTACCAACTTTGGGAGTCTGAAACTGAACAAATATGCAATCAAGATGTATTGATAATTACTGGTGATTGGAATGTGAAAGTTGAAAATGAAGATATATCAGTAGTTGGAAAACATGGCTTTGGTGATAGAAATAATGCCAGAGACCACAAAATAGAATTTTGCAAGACTAACGACTTATTCATTGCAAGCACCTTTTTTAAACAACATAATTGGCAGCTATACACATGGACCTCACCAGATGGAATACACAGGAATCAAATCAACTACATCTGTGGAAAGGGGTGATGGAGAAGCTCAATACCAACAGTCAGAACAAGGCTAGGAGCTGACTGTGGAACACAGCTTCAATTACTCATATACAAGTTCAAGTTGAAGCTGAAGTAAATTAAAACAAGTCCATGAGAGCCAAACTATGACCTTGATTATATCTCTTATGAATTTAGAGAGGACCTGAAGAGTTGACACACTGAACCCAGTGACTGAAAACCAGAGGAGTTGGGAGATCAAGAATATCACACATGAAGAAAGCAAAAGGTCATTAAAAGACAGGAAAGGAAGAAAAGACCAAAATGGATGTCTGAAGAGACTCTGAAATTTGTTCTTGAATGGAGTGGAGAGTAGCTGAGGCTAATGGAAGAAATGATGAAATAAAAGAGCTGGACAGAAGATTTCAAAGGGCAGCTCAAAAAGATAAAGTAAAGTATTATAATGAAATATGCAAAGACCGGGAATTAGAAAACCAAAAGGGAAGAACACGTTTGGCATTTCTCAACCTGAAAGAACTAAGAAAAATTTCAAGCCTCAAGTTGCAATATTTAAGGATTCTTGAACAATGCAGAAGTATCGTAAGAAGATAGAAGGAATACACAGAGTTACTGTACCAAAAAGAATGTGTTGATGTTCAGCCATTTCAGAGGTAGATGTGTGATCAAGAACTGATGGTACTGAAGGAAGAAGTCCAAGCTGCACTGAAGGAATTGGTGGAAAACAAGACTCCAACAAGTGATAGAACACCCATTGAGGCATTTCAACAAGTGGATGCAGTGCTGGAGGTACTCACTCCTTTATGCCAAGAAATTTGGAAGACAGCTATCTGGCCACCAACTAGAAGAAATGTATA